CCTCCTCCTCCTCCTCCTCCTCCTCCTCCTCCTCCTCCTCCCCTCCGGAGGCTACCCATGGTTGGCGAGAGGGCACCAGTCATAACTGCACCGCCATCAAGGTCCTGGGCCTGGGCCAGGCGCGGAGCCCGAGGCTGGACTCTGCGCGGAACTTGCGCACACTCGGTGGTATAGAAAGGAGGAGGAGGAGGAGGAGGAGGAGGAGGAGGAGGAGGAGGAGGAGGAAGAGGAGGAGGAGGAGGACGAGGAGGAGGGGGAGAAGGAGGAGAAGGAGGAGGAGGAGGAGGAGGGGGAGGTCGAAACCTGGACGAAATCCGGTCGAAGTCACGTTTAGGACGGGACCGCGGAGGTCCACAGAGGCCCCCAGAGGAAGGCTCTCCCTGCCGCCCCCGCGGCCAGGCGGCGCCGCCCAGGGCGGGCCGAGCTGGTGGCCGTGGCTCGACGCTAACTCCACGGTCGGCGAGATCCTGGAGGGGCAGCGGGGGGTCCTCGAGAGTGCAAGAACCGCTAAACCTACTTTGGAACCCCTAATAGGGGAACTGAAAATGGCATAAAGATTATAACTCGGAGGTCTGCGCGGATTTCTCGGATCGGCGCTGGGGCCTCCTGGCGGCGCCTCCGGCGCCGCCCCTGGCGCGCTCCGCGCGGTGGGGAGGGGGGTCCAACGCTGATCCGAGAAATCAGCGCGGACCTCCGAGTTTTTATGTTTATGTCACTGTTTGTTTCCCTAGCTAACCCTAATAACACAGTGAAGATGTGGCTTCACCTAGGTCCCCCAGGGATGCAGTTCACCTGCATAGTACGGATGGGAAACCTTCCCACGGGTACCCTTGCATTCTTGCCTCGTCGGTCCGTCCTTGGCCATTTTCGTTGGCCGCGCCCCGCTCGAGAAGCTTCGAAATGGGCGTCCAAGGCCCTCGCATCCTCATCGCGCATCCTCATGATACCGGCCGACTGTAACTGTAACCCTGATGACACGGTGAAGACGTGGCCTCACTTAGGTCCCCGCCTTTGCACGAGGCATTGTAGATCTGGGCGGTTTGGTTCGATACATCTGCAGAACAAGTCATCCCCTATCCCTAATGTTTTTGGCCCTCCTAAATTCAGGAGGGGGCAACCACAGACATGTTTGATTGTCGACTCCCAAGAAATGAGGGAAAGTATGGGAAGTTGGGGGGAAGACGATAACCCAGAAGATATGGGGAATCCTTGGGTTTGTGTGTACTGATTTGTGTGTCCCTGGGCTCCTTTACGAAAAGACACCCCCTACCCTCATGTTTTTGGCCCTCCCAACTTCGCTCCCCTCCCAAAGGGTCAGGGGTCCTTTCGTTGCTATATACTCGGGGTGCGGACTGCCCGGGCCAGACGTACCTGCCCCGGGGGGAGGGGTGCAGCCCAGAGCTCTGTTGTGGCCGTGCTGCAGCGGATCGTCTGCTCGCCTTGTCGTCGTCGTCGTCGTCGTTGTCGGCGTCGTCTTGGTCGTAGTGCTCAGAGGAGGAAAAGGTACCAATACCGCTACCTTCGCCCGTTATCCCCATTCTCGGCCTCCTCGGAGGCCCTCGTTGCCACCGCTTGATGCACCTCGACATCCTGGTCAGGACACCCCCTAGAATAGGTCCAGGGAGTACCAGTATCGGTACCTTTTGGTATCCCATCTGCTCGGGATTTGGCCGTGCGCCAGCATCGCAGAGCGGATTTCGCTCGGAAAACGATGGGATGGCCCCAGATTGTCCTGGAGAATTTCGTTCTGGATCTCGAAGTGATTTTCGAGCGGGTTTTTTGTGGCAAGGAATGAAGGCTACAAACAATCTACATGAAAGTCACTTCCTTTTTCGCTCGCCTTTTCAGGGTCTTGCATTGACAGAAATCCAAGCAACGAACCGCTGCAGGACATCTGCAAGGTCCGTGCAGTGAGACTTGATCCCCTTGTGCAGTGACTACCACCACCACCACTGTGTGCAGCGTGGGTGCCCCTCCAGCGCCGGGTGCGCGCAGTGCTGTCCCCAGCCTCCGTCGGCGACGTGTGATAGTGACCCTTCGCCAGAGTGGCCCCTAGCGCGGGCTCACAGGGGTCCCTGCACTGGCTTGCGCGCTTGGGTCTGCTCCCTCCCCCACACCCCTAAATCTAAACTGCTGCCTAGGGTCAATCTTGAGTGTAGCCGACTCCCGCACGCCGGGCACCGCTGGTCGGCACACGGGGTGTATCTCTTGTCAGGTCGCCACCGTCGAGCGGGTCGACCTTGCAGAGCGGAACCAAAGATGCCCCGATGGCCTCTCAGTCCCCAACTTTTCGTAGCTGTGCCATGGCCGTGACGTGACCGGGGGGGGGCGACCGCGCGGACATTCGCGCGCAAGTTGCCTTCCGCCGGAGCATTCTCGACGAAATCGTTCTTTTTGGCCCCCTCACGTTCCTCACAGGGCCTCGCCAAGCAAGCCCCATGAGTCCGAGCCCCGAATCATCAGGGGGAACTCGGGTCAGGGCCAACTCGGGTTCGTCTTTCGGGAATCCGAACCCGAGTTACCCCAGGCCCGAGTTTCGGGCCGAGCGAAAGGGGAGGATAGGGAAAGGGGGGGGTACGAGATCTGCTGCATGCAGCTGGTCTCGGCCCCGCCGAGGGGCCCTCTCCTCGATACCTGGCCGCCTCCGGCGCCGGGAGGCGCCTGGAAAATCAGCTACGTGAGCTGATCCTCTGGCCCGCCCTCGTTCCCCCCGAAGGTCCCCACCCACCAAACCACCCCAACCCAACCCGAAGGCTCAGATTTACCCTCGATTTCCAGTGGGGGGGGGGTCGGGAAACATAGAAAAAACACATGTGGAACCCTTACCCCCCCAACCCGAAATTCGGGTCTTCGGGTTGGGTTGGGATGGTCTGGTAGGTAGTCAGAAGGAGGACCCCGGAGGCTTTCGCGCGGGGCCCGCGGGCTCCCCGAGAGCCACCTGAGGGCCTCCACGCACGCACTCCTGCACTGCTCTGCTGCCCGCCTCCTCCTCCTCCTCCTCCTCCCCCTCCTCCTCCTCCTCCTCCTCCTCCTCCTCCTCCCCCTCCTCATCCTCCTCCCCCTCCTCCTCCTCCTCCTCCTCCTCCTCCTCCTCCTCCTCCTCCTCCTCCTCCTCCTCCTCCTCCTCCTCCTCCTCCTCCACGTCCCCAGAGCACCGAGCATCCTCGCAAATCCCGACATCCAGGAGGGCCCCTAAGATTGAGTCGGGCGTATCCCTCTGCAGGAGGGATACTCAAACACAGTAAACAGATAGTCTGGGGACGATTGTCTGACAATTTTTGCATATTGGTGGAGTATTGTTTTACTATGTTTTACTTTTCGTCCAAAATCGACCTGTTGCCCGACCTAACCAGAACACCGAACACCCTCTCGAATCCCGACGTCCAGGAGGGCCCCTAAGACGACCTCCATGTGCGATGGGGTGGTGAGCCTGCCCGATGTGTGCGACCATGGCTGCGCATGGCAGCCCAATCTGACAGACACCTGCGCCCTGCCACCACGTGCTCCAGAACGTGACGGAAGCCCTCCGCCAGCATATCATCAGCACAATCTCTTTTCTGCCCCCCCCCCACGTTCCTCACCTGTCCGCGCCGAGATCGACGAGGTAAAGATATCGGGCGGGCGGTGATGGGGGGGTGGCCCACATTGGGTGGTGAAGGGAAGGGCTCGAAAAGGTGGCCCTTTCAGGGCCCCTTTTGCAGCCAGCAGGGGCCCCCAAAGGCGCCTCCTTTAGGGCCTTATCTTCACCCCCCATGTAGGTCACCCCCCACTGCCATTAAGTCGGGCATGTCCCTCTACAGGCGGAATATTCAAAAATTGTTTAAAGAAAATAGTATGGGGACGATGTGTTTCACTATTTAGGTTTACGTGCTATGATCTTTTTGACTATTTCCCTACCTAGGCTCTGCCTAGAAGGGTTCTTACCCTGTATGCTTAAAGGGCCGGGCAGTGCTCCCCGCCCCGGGCGGTTTCCCCAGGATCCGCCCAGCGGTTCACCCAGTGACGTTCCCTTAGCTAAGCGTTGCTTATCTCAACTTAGCTTGGCTTATTTCATCTTAGCTTAGCTTAGCTTCATCTGAGCTCAGGTTTATCTTAGCTTAGCTTACCTTCATCTTGGCTTCGCCGAGCTTTAGCATAGCAGAGCACAGCATAGCATAGCATAGCAGAGCCTAGCACAGCACAGCGCAGCACAGCATATCATAGCAAAGCCCAGCATAGCACAGCAAGGCCCAGCATAGCACAGCATAGCATAGCATAGCGCAGCACAGCACAGCACAGCATAGCACCGCGCAGCATAGCATAGCATAGCATAGCAGATCATAGCATAGCATAGCAGCAAAGCAAAGGCAACGCAACAGCAGCGACAGCAAAGCAAAGCACAAACAACGCAAAGCAAAGCAAAGCAAAGCAAAGCAAAAGCAAAAGCAAAGCAAAGGCAAAGCAAAAGCAATGTGCGACAGATGCCGAGCTGGCCTCGATGGCCGGACCAGAGCCCCCGCAAGCAGTGCCTTCCGTAACCATTTCGGCTCAAGTCCGGTGGCCCCTGCCACACAGCCGCCCACGCTCACGTCCCGAGGTTGGCGGAGTGAGGCGTTCAGCGGTGCTGCAGAGCCCGCCTCGGCACCAGGTGGTGCTGCACAGCCCACCCGGCCTGTTGATGTGGATGTAGATGCATGTGTAGATGTTGATGTAGCTTTCGGCTTAGATATAGATGCTGCTTTCCTAGATCCTCAAACTCCTAGGTAGGGTCGCACTGGGATAATTCGAATTTTTCGCCCAAAATCCGCCTGTAGGAGGACATGCCCGACCTAACATTACCACCCGCCCGAGTAGTCGCCGCGCGCGCGAGGGAGCGCAACAGCTGCTCGGCGCCGGAAGCGAGGCCGGCGTCGCCCGCTCGGCCCTCTTCGGGTGAAGATCCTGGATTTCCCCTGGCGCTCCTGGCGCAGGCGGGTGCAGCTGGGGGCTCGACGGGCCCCCCCTCCCGACGTGCCCGCTCGCGTCGCATACGTCCCGCACGCCATCTTTCAGAGGAGGAAGAGATGATATATCCATCCCCCCCTGCTTGCGTACCCTTCCCTCGTTTTCCCCCGTTTGGGCCTCCCGGGAGGCCCTCGTCGCCGCCGCTGGGTTCGCTTCGAAATTCTGGTCAGAACGCGCCCCTGGAGAGGTCTGGGGAGTAGCGGTATGCGTACCTGTTGTTTTCTCAGTCTTCCACGTGCCCCAAACACCTTCAGCAAACCTCCAGCAGTCAGTAGGGAAAGAAACACACCGACATAATTATTCGCCAACTCCCAGAAAAAAAAGAACCTATGGGGGGTGCGGGGGAAAACGAAGTCCCGGATAATATAAGAAAAGATAGGGACACGCGGGGTTTGTGTCTATTTTTTTGTGTGTTCTTGGGCCCCCCTGCAGGCCTCGAGCGCTCCCCAGGAGAGCACCAGAAACGACCTACGCGTGCGATGGGGGCCGCGAGCCGGCCAGGGCGTGTGTGCTGCGATGGTTGCGCACGCGGCAGTTCCGCACGGCAGCGCCTGCTCCTCTCTGCACCGATCCGTGTTGCAAGGATACGAGCAGAAAATGGTTATCTATATCTAGAAGAAGAAAAAGACATATACTAAGAATAATACGAAGAACTAGAGCAAACACATAAGCATAAACGTTTGGCGCTCCGCGCGGGTTTCTTGGATCCGCGCTGGACCCCCCTCCCTGGCGCGCGGAATGCGCCAGGGGCGGCGCCGGAGTTGCCGCCAGGGGGGCCCAGCGCAGATCCAAGAAATCTGCGCGGAGCGCGAACAGTTTATGTCTATGCCGTTTCTTCGATCATCGAAGCAAGACAAGTGGAGAGGGGGGGACCGAGGAACATGATGAGAAAGCACGGCCAGAGGGAGGAGAAGGGAAGAGCAGGAGGAGCAAGAGGAGGAGAGGGCGCATGTGTCCTCCTCTTTGCGGGGCCGCCTCCAGCTTTCTTTTCAAGTAGCTAGTCCTTCCCCGCATGACGTCGCACCAGGCTGCTAGAAAAGAACGAAGAATCTACAGTGACAACCCATGCCAAGAGACAGCCTGGTTGCCTCCAGGGTGTCCTGGGTTTCTTGGGTGTCGGTGGTTCTGCTGTGGAAGCTGTGACGCTCCCACCTCCTAAGTCAATGGACGTCCTGGGGTCTCAGGGTTGGCTTGCTCGTGGATGGTTTCCTGTGGTCGAGCTGCTGTGTGAGAAGCTGGGGATGCGACAAAAAAACATCGCCAGACGAGAGCCTGAGCGATCGCGAAGCGCGCGTGGCTACAACGTCTGTGGAGTAGTCCAGCTGCCTCCTCCTCCTCCTCCTCCTCCTCCTCCTCCTCCTATTCCGCCACGGTGCCAGTACAGCATGCTGGATGGCAACTGCTCGAGTTGGCAAGGGGGGCCTGCTGGGGGCGTCCTGGGGCAGAGGGCTCGAATTTCACGTTCGTGCTCCCACTCTTGAGCCCTTTTTGGGGCCGTCTTTGGGCCCTCTTGGGCCGTCGTGGGCGCCTCTTGGTCCGTTGGAGCCCTCTGGGGCCGTCTTGTATCTATCTTGGTGCCTCTTGAACATTCGGTGGCGCCTCTTGGACCGTCTTGGAGCTCTCTTTGGGGCCTCTTGGGCCGTCTTGGGGCAGTCCTGGTGGCCGCTTGGGCCGCCTTGGGACGTCGGAAGCTCGACAAGCGAGAACCCGACACATAGAAAACCCTAAGCCTCATGTGCTGTCTTGAAGCCATCGTGGGCCGTCTTGAGGCCAACGTGCTCCGTCTTGGAGCGATATCGGGCAGTATTGCAGGCATCGGCGCCTCGGGAACGCGAGTGTGTAGTATCTTTCGAGGGATGATGGTCTCGGGGAGGGGGTGCGATGCGATCAGCGAAGTGCGGCCGGGAGAGTTGGGGGCTTAGAACATGAGAGAACACCGACAAGGCAGACCTTGGCATTCTTCACGCCTGTATTTCAAGCAAGCATGCATGCATACGTACATACGTACATTGATGAGTCTACGTGTATAAATATACCCACACAGTCATATACATGCTTATCAGTGTACATCTATGCATACAGAAAGACAGACAGACAGGCAGACGTACAGACAGACAGACAGACAGACAGACAAACAGACGGGCATACAGACATACAGACATACAGACCTATATATATATATATATATATATATATATATATGTATACAGACATACAGGCATACAGGCACGACGACATACAGGTAGGCAGGCAGGCAGGCAGGCAGGCAGGCAGGCAGGCAGGCAGACAGACAGACAGACAGACAGACAGACAGACTGACATATAGACATACAGCCATACAGACATACAGAACAGACATACAGGCATACAGTCATGAAGACATACAGACATACAGGCAGACAGACAAATAGACAGGCAGGCATACACACATATACACATACAGACGTATAACATAGAAGTACATCTATATACACCTGAGAGAGGGGGGGGGGCAGCTCCCTGACACACTCTAATTCGAGTGGCCCGACCAGAACTATTGGAGCCCACGGAGTCCCCCCGACTGGCATTCCCCAGGCCGCTACGGCTCACATCCGGCGACACACGACGTCTTCGCCAGTCGCCGACGGGGAGGAGCAGTGGGAGGGGAGGCGCTGTACGACCTCACGGATTTCGTCCGCTGGCCTTACGTGGAGGCTTTCGACAGCCTCCCCGCACTCATGCGCGCTGTCCGCGGAGCGGACTTCGACAAGTGCAGCGAGGACAGACTGCCACTATCTTCTTCTGCACGCGGAATGATGGCAGCCAGTGCTGATCACTGCTAGAGGCAGAGGCATGGGTAACATCAGGGCGGAGGGAGGCGGAATGGGAGAAGGCAAACGGATGTGGCTTTGGGTCTTATGGTGATCGTTGTCTTATTCGTTGTTGTGTCGATCAGCGCGGGCCCTCGCCCCCCCCTCCCCCCCATGGAGTAGATCTTGGCTGTTTTTGGCGCCTGTTGCGAGCAGGTGGGGTCTCCCCCATAGGACGCACTCGCTTTAAGCAATGGTCCAGAGCCAGACCCCACCCCTCCCCCCCTTCCGCCCAATATTGAAACGCCGCATTCAAAAAAAACGCTCACATGGGGGTTGTCCGTGCCCGCGACTGGTGGCATCTCCCGACCGAGACAAGAGCGCACCCGACAGCCTGCAGTATGCATCCCGTCGTTGAAATGCTGGGCTGGGCTCGCCACAGGCTCCATGCCCTGGCTTCCTACAGTGAGTCACGCGTATCACCGGGGCGCTGTGTTTCGCAGTGGGCCCCTCGTCCGTAGACGCGCTAACGGTGTGTTAGCTAACGGCGAAGTAGGAAAACCAATTGTAGGAAGGCGTGGTCCGTGGCCAAGCCATTTGTAGGAACGCGTGGTTAGTGTTTTCCTACAAGTCGCTGTGTCGTTTTCGCTCGATACAATTGCATCTGGGAAATGTAGGAAACGGTGTTTCGTGATTTCCGACATTTTGTTTTGCGTGAGCTCGGTGTCAGAAAAAAAAACAAATATCCCCAACCGCACCGTTAACCAACATCACCGTTCGGAACTTGTTCTTGTCGCACGATCTCCGTGCAAGGTCCTGGCCTTGCGTTTGCTGCCACCGCCCGGAACCGTCGTCTAAGAAAGTGGACGTCGGATCGAGGCAGCCAGCTTCTGTCCAAAACTATGGATGCCGACCAACGCACCATCATGGTATCTTTGTTTTATTCATTGTTTTGCCGATCGGCGCGGGCCCTCGCATCCCCAACTCTCGCCCCTCGTGGAGTAGATCTTGACTGTGTTTGGAGCCTGTTCCGACCACGTAGAGTCTCCCCCATAGGACGCTCTCTTGCAAACAGTTGCATTAAGCAAAGTTGCGGAGCCAGACCCCCCCCCCTCCCCCTCCCCTTACGCCAAGTGTCGAAACGCCGAATAAGAAAACGTTGACCATCCCTCAAGACACTTCGCCGTCTGGCCGGCCTGGGGTCTCCAAGCCTGCGGGGATCCCATAATTATGGTTTCGCCAGCATGCGGTCGACCAGCCCGGCAGCTTGTCTTGGGCGGTGTAGGTGCCCGCGGCAAGGACGGGTGTGCACATTTGCTCACACCGAGATCCTTTTGGAGTGCGATCGATCGATCACTAAGGTGACGTCGGGCCTGTCCCTCTACAGGAGGTATATTCAAAAATAGTCCAAAAGTAGTCAGGTGACTATTTTTGGACTATGTTTGAGCATTGTTGGTGGCTATTTTTTGTTTCCTCCACAATCCGTCTGTGGGGATATGCCTGACCTAACACAAAGACGGAATCGACTCCTTAGGTCCGTGGTCGAGTTGTTAGATGTGCCATCGTGTGTGTTGCAAGCCCTCGCGAGTGCCAGTGGTCGCAGGATGGTTGTTGAGGTGATGGATCTGTGTACGGGTGGTCCTCCTGGGGCGCTTCCCGCTCGCTGCCAAGGCGGCATAGATGGCCACAGTTTTCTCACGACTAGCTTTTCGTCGGCTGCGATTTCCAGAACTCCCCAGATAACAGTTTTCCTGGACTCGACGAGGTGACTCAGACATCTGGGCCTCCCAGATGGGGCTGGAGCCGAGGAGGTCGGAGCATCCTGCGGCTCGGTGTGGCTCACGGTGTTCTTCACACCGACGTCGCGGATGCGTCGCCGATGCATCGACGATGCATCACCGATGCGTCGGTAGTGCGGCGCGATCGTTCGAGGAGGACGAAGAGGAGGCGGAGGAGGCGGAGGAGGCGGAGGAGGAGGAGGAGGCGGAGGAGGAGGAGGAGGAGGAGGAGGAGGAGGAGGAGGATGCGGAGGAGGCGGAGGAGGAGGAGGAGCGACCCCGCTTGGGAGGCCTATCCAAGAACGTCCCGCCTGGCCGGGCCGAGCGCAGGCTGCGGAGGAGGCCGTCGGGCCCTGCGCTGCGCGGCTCGCTCCCCCCTCGGATGGGGGCGGTGCAGCAGCCGGGGTTTCGCCGATGGGCGACGTCGGGGTTGGCCCTAGGGCCGGGTGGGCGTCCTCGTCCTCGTCCTCGTCGTCCTCTTCCCCCTCCTCCTCCTCCTGCTCCTCCTCCTCCTCCTCCTCCTCTCCTCCTCCTCCGCTCCTCTTTTTCCCCCTTCTCCCCTCCTCTTCCCCCTCCTCCTCCTCCTCCTCTCCTCCTCCTCCTCCTCTCCTCCTCCTCCTCCTCCTCCTCCTCCTCCTCCTCCTCCTCCTCCTCCTCCCCCTCCTCCTCCTCCTCCTCCTCCTCGGGCTCGCTCGGCCGGCCAGTGGGGGACGGGCGCAGGGCCCAGACTTCCATAGAGACTGAAGATGAGGGCTGCTCCAGAGCTTCTCCGTGGTTTTCCCGGGACTCGGGGGCCGTTTCCGGGCTTTGAGGCCGTCAGAAGAGATAGTTTTTATCATCTGGCGCGTAACGGTCGTGTCGTCTGGGCCGACCGCCCCCCTCCGGGCCAGTGTGACCGTAACGATCGCACGTGGGTAATCAGGGGCGGGGGGAGGCTGGACCCCCCCACCACATGCCAGTGCTCGCGCGCGTACTATGGCGATCGCAGCGCACCCCCGCCCCGACGTGCCCCACCCCGCCCAAGCGTTACCATTGCCCAGGGCCCCACCCCCACCCCGCAGCAACGGCCGCTACAAGAAACAACAACAAAAATAAGATCAGAGACGGCTCCGGGTCAGACGCCGATCCCAGGGGAGGGGTCGAGAGCTCCAACCCTCCACCACCCGGCCTTCCCGTCGCCCGTCCCCTCTTCCCTGGCATCGCTCGGACGTGTGCATTTCTTCTCGGCGAGAACCATTGAGGACGATCCTGGACCATCGAGCAAAAAAAACACGCACGAAACCGAAAAGTGCACGGGAAATGGACGTCCGAGCGATGGCGAGCTTCCCGCTTCTTGGTCCCTCCCCGTTCCCTCCGCCGCCCCCGTGTCGGCGGCGCGCAGAAGGAGGACCGTGCGGGAGGCAGGGCTGGCGAGGAGGCGTCGCCCCCCGCTTCCCGGCAGGCCTTCGGGGAGCACGGCTGCTGCAGGGGCAGGGCTCTGGGGAGCGGGGTTCTGCGGTGCAGGGCCGTCTCCTTCTCAGAAAGGCCGCCGTCCTCTCCCTGAGGTGCAGTCGGGTTCGATCAGTGGCCGGCCCTTCCAAAGCAAAGGCACCGTTGCGACCCCTGCCTTCTACATTCCCGCCCAGCTGCCGTGGCAGGTCCCGCCACCGTGCCAGCCCAGCATTCGGGGTGGCGACTGTTCGAGGGGGCGCAGGGGGCCGTCACGTGTGACACCTCGTGTCCCAAGGCTTGGGAGAGCAGTGATAAGGATGATGAGGACTATGCGGATGATGGGGGGATGATTATGACGATGATGATGCTGATGGTGATGATGATGTTGATGCTGCTGATGATGATGCTTCTGATGATGATGATAATGATGATGAGGATGATGATGATGATGCTGATGCTGATGATGATGATGATGATGGTGGTGGTGGTGATGATGATGATGCTTGTGATGATGATGATGATGATGATGATGGTGATGATGATACTGATATTGATACTGATACTGATACTGATACTGATACTGATACTGATACTGATACTGATGATGATGCTGATGACGATGATGACGATGGTGACGCTGATGCTGATGCTGATGCTGATGCTGATGCTGATGAGAATGCTGATGCTGATAGTGATGATGATGATGATGATGATGATGATGATGATGGTGATGGTGATGGTGATGGTGATGGTGATGATGATGGTGCGGTGCTGATGGTGATGATGATTGATACAGTGATGGTGATGATGAGGAGGAGGAAGATGCTGATGATGATGGTGAGGATGAGGATGATCATGAGAATGAGGATGATCATGGTGATGGTGATGATCATGATGATGATGACGATGATGATGATGATGATGATGATGATGATGCTGATGATGATGATGATGATGATGATGATGACTACAATGATGATGCTGCTGATGATGAGGAGCAGGATCAGGATCAGGAGCAGGAGGTTGACGCTGGTGAGGATGAGGATGAGGGTGGAGATGAGGATGTGGAGTGGGATGTGAATGAGGATGATGATGGTGGTGATGATGCTGATGCTGATGCTGAGGCTGCTGATGATGATGATGCTGATAGTATTGATGTTGCTGTTGCTGTTGGCGTTGATGTCCGTGATGATGATGGTGACGATGATGCTATTGATGCTGATGCTGATGAGGATGCTGATGGTCATGATGTTGGTGATGATGATGGTGGTGGTACGCTAGCGATGACGAAGACTACGATTTCGATGATGATGAGGATAATGATGATGAAGATGATGATGAAGATTATGATGATGTTGATGATGATGATGATGATGATGATCATGATCATGATCATGATCATGATGATCATGATGTTGATGATTCGAATGAGGATCGAAACCGATTCGATGAGCTGCTGGAAGCCCGTAAAGGCGATCATACGAAATTCGTGATGTTTTCATCGATCTGGCTTCGCGAATGACTGTCCCCGTTCAGAAGGGATCGCCCGATGACTACCTTCTTCTCTACTCCTCCTCCTACATTTTCTTCTCCTCCTCCTCCTCCTCTTCCTCCTCCTCCTCCTCCTCCTCACCGTGCCGTCCCTGCCAGACTTGCCGTCCTTGCCGTCATCGCCGGACTTGCCTCCCTGGCCGTCCTTGCTATGCGTGCTGTCTGCCGTGCCGCCCTTGCCGCGCGCGCCGTCTGGGCCGCCCGAGCCCG